TTTGATCATTTGTTTTTGTATAACATAAATGTAACGGATATTCACCCAACTCTCCGTATATTGCCATTATGGAAGTGTTTCTCTTGATACCGAAAATAAATCTGCAGAAATGTAAATGGATATCTTCAACTTCCGATTTATAAGAACTCCCATGGTCCCCATATATCACTGCCATATGTCAGAATAGGTCTTACGAGCCTATGGAATAGGGACATCAATGTTTTTATATTTATATTAGGATTTTGTCCTAGTTTCCCTATTAAAGAGAACATGGCCCTTTGACCTTTACGTTTTAAGTTTTTTATGGCTTCTTTGAATTTCCCATTTGGGCTTAAAGTGATACCAAGATAATTGATTTTTTTAACAATATAAATTTCTTTGCTTTCATAGAAAAATATGTTATCTTCTAATAGTCTATTCGATTTGTTGAAAACCATAATTTTAGTTTTTTCTGTGTTGACTGATAACAAAGAAACCGCTGCAAATAAAAACACCTTTGAAAGACTAAGAAATGTGAATACATTTTGCCGCGGTGTTCATGTTCTCAATGATTAGACATTCATCGTCCGCCATGGAATTGATTTTACTGAAATTATAATGTTTTGTATATACTCAGTGTTTACCCCAGTCTTTTTTAGGGCATATAGTCCCACTTCATTTCACGTTAGTTTTGGTTCAGAAGTAAGTTCTAAATTTTATATAATTATGTTTATTAAGTAAGTGGGTACTAATTTTTGCCTATTTTGCTGGAAGTGTGTCCACTTTTAAAATATCCACAGAATCCCCTTAAAAGAATAAAAACGTGGGAATATACTAGAGAGTTATATAAGTACTATAATTGTATAAGTACTCTACAAACAATGTTGCTCTCTTTTTACAATGTCTGACTGAGTGTTACGAGGTTTATGGGTATTGTGATGAATGTATGGGGGGGGGCAAGTGGATAGCTGGTACAGGTTACGGGAAATAAAAACGGCATTTTACATTTTAACAGGTAATTAAATGAAAGTTCCATTTACAATAAAAAATAGGTTTTTACACTTTAAAGATAAAGCAGATTCATAATTACATTTTACATTTTTATAATATTTTTTGATAATTTGAGTTTAAGACTCAAAAATGTAAATTGCGTACGAATTAAAACATTTAATTTGGAAAATGCTTTATACGCTTACAAATATATCTCTGTACAAATTACGGACGAATAAAATAGCTTATTACATTTTACATTATACTCATGTCTACGAATTTACGGTTTTTATTTATTAAATGACATTATTACGAAAACAACACATGTAAGACGTTTGTTATTACGATGACATTGGTACGCGAGAGGTATTTGATTTGCTTTGGAGTTTGAATAAGAGATTAGAACTGGTATGCGGGTGAACAATGATCGCACGACTCAAAGACACAACAGCAATTGTGTTGGGGGAGGGTGTCAATATCGGGCACACACGCAATCACTAATGATTAATAACAGTGTTGACTTTGATAAACATAAGTTTATGAGAGTTGTGATTGGCTGGATTGGTACATAGTACAGGGAAGCGCATGCATTGACAGTCTGATTATATTTAAAGCGGGTGTGTCGTCCCCTGCGCATGCGTCAGATATTTCATAACTAAAACACAAATAACCAATATAAGTGGATATTGACCTAATTCACCTCTACATGGGTCATTAGATGCCTTCCTGTGCACACCCAGAACTCTTTTACAGAATTCAATGAGAAGTTTTTCTGGAATTACTTTATCTGTGAAAAGTTTTGTTTCAAAATTGCAATTGTCGACTGTTCATATATCTGGTGCGTTTAATTATTGTATGATAGGTTTGAACGATCCCAATTTCACCATGAAATAACAACGCTCGGATGGCGAGCACAGCGATGCCCTCTGTACCTACATAGTGGTGACACACTATATCGCTTATGAGTTGATAATCATAAATGTCATGTTCCATTGCATTATGAAATTTCCATTCGTTAAATTCCCGCGAATAAACAAATAATTGTCAGCAAATAAAACAACTTGTTATTGATCTGAAACTTAGTTAAATCTTATTGACAGTAATATGGTAAACTAAATGGGAATATACACTTGATGTATAAAGTACTCTTGCCACTTGGCCACGAAGTGTTCTCAAATACCTTGTAGTCAGTATGATATATCTAATTCAGTGTGTCATTGTCCTTCCCGGATTGTGCCTGTGAGATTGGTTTATATATGGATGAATGTAAGACTGTGATTTAGATATGGGTCTATAAATAAAAACAAAATGGGTCTAGAAGTGGGTGTAGTCAGTGGCGCTGGCTACACACCCCCAACAAAAAATGGTTTGGCCACATATGTCGTCACAATAATTGTTTTATTTCTGTCATTTGTGCTGCTCCCCATGGTCATACCAAGGGAGTTGGAATAACATGTACGTGAGTTTTTAATAATTTAAAAGTAAAAGTAAATTTTAATTATCCAGTCTACTTCTTCTCTTATACAGTCTCCCTTTCATAGATGCGACAGAAACGTTTTTGTTTTATATAAATTATATATGAGTTTTATAAATTTAGGATGACGGTTAGAAACAACTTGACCACTCATCGGCGATTGAATCTTTGTTTTGGTTACGTTTCAATCTTGCATTATAATTTGTGGCAAATATTTGATTTTTGTTGCCTGCCTACTATTTCTGGGGTTAATCTGAGTCTTTTCATCACATCCTTATTCTTTAAAATTTTAGATTCTACATCATTTGTTACACCGTACAAATATTGCTAGAATATCGACGTCTGACTCAGTGCGATTCTCCAGCAACATGCATCATCGTCCGTGCAATCAGTGGTAATATCGTGGTCCAGTACACCGTGACAACAATCTAATTAAAATAAGATCCTAGTTCACGACTTTTTATTTTTATTGTTTTCAATTATGTATTTAATGCAATTTTATTTTAATTTATTTCATGCTAGTTTTTAAAGCTTAAATAAAATAAAATGAAGTAGAACAATATACATAAATAAATGTGCTATGTTTTCTGGATTGTCTTGTCATTTTGCCTTTATGTGTCCTGAGAGGGTGTGCTGACGTGATACTCGTGTGTACATGGTAACAGTACGTTTTTAAAGACTCTTTAAAATAATAAAGTGGTATGTTCAGATCATTTGCAAGTTTATTTTGCAATTTTCTGACTATCTCGCAATTCGCGTGAATAGGATATTTACTGCATACCATTATCTCGCCATAAAACTACTATAAAACACAAAACAAAGAGTTCACGATCACAAAATAAGACAATGGAACAAAATTGGTAATAAATATGAACACATACCACAAACTGTCGTCACTGACCTTCATATGACCATAGGTCGTGGTGGTCAGGTCGCTATTTTGTTAACATAGACCCACGTTTCATGGAGGCTAGACTGACAAATTCGGGCCTTCTATTTTGTTTTACAAAAAAGAAATAATTAATTGCGCCAAGTTCCCACATATTCAATTGTTTACACCAGTTATTGAGAAAATGATACATACCCATGTGCGGATAACGTATTTTGGCCACACTCAATCTAAGCTATATGTATATGTGGCTGGTTTTCGTTTGCTGTTGGTGTTGACCTATAAAGTTCGCCTGATACGTTTAAGCGCCACCACAGTACACCCTGAACATAGAAGCAGATTGCCGATAATGCCTGGCAAGTTTTAAACAATTTTGACAAAATTTTACGTTTTCACGGAATGTATATTCGGAATGCAGGAATTTATTTGTTCATTATACCTTGCCCATGTCTACGAATTTACGTTTTTTATTTGTTTACATTATTACGAGAATAAAATCAATTGATTACAGCTTGCCGACCCTCAAATGTCCAATGTGGAACTAAGTGGGTCCAGTTAGGGTCTAAACGTAACAGCGATAATCTATTTTCAGATCAAAGATTAACTCAAGTCATTTCCGGCACGTGCTGAAATCCTGTCTGAACGTGGCTAATGTTGTACAATGTTGATTGAATATGCTTGGGACATTTTGACATTAAAACTGAAATATTACAAATAATCGCGTCACATAAAAGAGTGCAGTTTGTTGTAAATTATATTTAAGGTGGAATCCTATACATGAATGAAAATACTTTATTTTGTAATAAATTGTATTTCCGGGCTATATAAGAATATTGACTTAAAAAAAAATTGGGGTCACCAGCCTAATTTTTGAGAAAGTGGTGGTTGTATTATAACACTTTTACCATAGTTCCTATGGCAGAGATATTATGTCATATCGCAAATTTTAGGCTGGTGACATAGGCTGAGATATATATATATATTGTGACTGGTGGGGTATTTTGTTGTTTATTTCAAAAATCTAGGTTTTAAAAAATGTAAAAATGCCATTACAATGCCGAAGAGATAAAAAATAGACGAAATTTAAAAACAAAACCTGCAGTAGAACTAAGAAAATCATATGTAATTTTCAGATATTGGTAGAACCAGCTTTATGTAATTATCTTGCTTTCAGATAATGTCTTGATAAATAAATAAATATACAAATAAACAAACAAACAAACAAGTAAGTAAGTAAGTAAGTAAGTAAGTAAGTAAGTAAGTAAGTAAGTAAGTAAGTAAGTAAGTAAGTAAGTAAGTAAGTAAGTAAGTAAGTAAGTAAAATAAATAAATAAATAAATAAATAAATAAATAAATAAATAAATAAAT